GTAAAACCTATAGAAAGTGCTGTCTATAAACCCCAAGAAATGTATTTTAGCCCTTGGGCTTTCATTTGACCAGTAAATAATCAAGGATCAAGGGAGAACTCAGAAATTTTTAACACACTAATTCCCAAAATACTAACTTTAAATTTTAGACCGATTTATTGACAAAATTTTAACGATCGATGACTCGCGTTATTATAGGACAGCAACAAAAAATAAGTTTGTTCTTGGGCTGATCGCTGAGTGTATACAACAGACAGACACTAACGCGACGAAACGCCCCGCCGATCAAATTATTTTGTTAAACAGTACTTGTTAGGTTGTGCTTGATTTATCAAGAGATTAACCGCATAACCTCATATTTTATCAAGATGCTTTCTCATCGCAGAATTGTTGCAAATCAGTGTTCAACATTAGTCTCGGATTCAAATATCCATAGTTAAGAAAGTTTTGGTCAAACCGTCGAACTATCACACATATTTGAAGTGCGATCGGAAGAAGAAATTGAGGGTCATAAAAATGCAACCTTGTTTGCTGAGTTATGCACATAAAAGTTAGTCACGAATATGGTGGATTTTCAGGACAGTTCGCTGTTAAAAAAATGTTTAAAAAACAGCTTCAATGCTGGACATTTGATGAAGAACTATATTACTGAAGAAAATTTCGCCCAGATTTCACTTTTGATCCTCTTAGAGAAGGTCATTACACAAAGAGAGTAATTTGTGCTGTCTTTTGTCGGTGTTTACCTGCGTTATCGTTCGGAAATGTTTGATTTCAGTATCAACATGCAAGGCAGACGGGCTAGTTTTAGAGAGCGGCTCAGAGGTGCGTATCGCGTGCAAGTAACTCAGAAGTGACGATAACTTATCTTTCGCTAGAGCCTTGGCAATGTCTTCATTTGAAAATGGTTAAATACCTAAGTCTTTTGGCCACTCCGATCCGCTCTGTCTTACTTGCATATGTGTTCAACCTCCCTGCCTCGTAACTTTAAACCGAAACTCGATCCTGTCGTAAAGTTAAGAGGAAATGAGATGCTTTAGCTCCCAGCTTAATATTGGATCCTGTTTCACTCCGAAGATTCAGTTAAAGAAGCATGAGTTTACATACCAAGTCCGCGGTGTCAACTTCTCTCCCTTCTGTTTGTTCTTCAGCGTCTTCATAAATTTCTATTTACCTAGATGAAGCTTGATGAAAATCCCTTTAGCCTTTTGTAACCGCGGTAACTAAACTATTGATCACTAACTTGATTACTGGCAAAATGATGCGAATGTCGTGCATTGCCAAGCTTTGTTCTACAAAATAACTGTATTAGGTTAACCCTTTATAATTTAATCATCTTTCGTCTTCTTTGTTCAGTTGTAATTATTTTCGCGCGTCCATTAAGCAGTTTATTTGTTTCCGGAACCGCTCCTTGTTTCATTGGCCAATCACTCCCCTCACGCCTTTATTCGCAAAAATAATCGTGCATGCAGTTTTCTGTGATCATGCTTGATCACTATCAAATTTTCTTACATTGCCTGAGGGTAACGACATGATACTGACCCTCGTTTTAACTGCAAGCAAAACCGTGACGCGCGCGAGCTGGGTTTTGGAAGCGAGGGGGGGGAAGGAAACCAGTAACCGTTTTTCCCTCACAGGCAGCCAGTGTCGTGTGAATCGCTTCAAGCCCTTCTTTGACGGAAGAAAAGTCAGAACCAAATCTATGGGAGCTTTAAAAGATTGGATGAATAAAAATAGGTAAAGTAAGGTCACAGAAAATTTGCCATCACGCGTGTAAATAGATTTTTATGTGAAATACGAGTTTCTTCCACGACTGCTACACTGTTAGCCAGGAAAGTGCACGTCTTGTGCAATCCCCAGAGGAAGGTCGAAGGATAGTGTCTGTAGATGACAGATCTGCGGACCATGCCCATCCCCCAATATTTGGGCGGCAGAGCCAAGGAGCCATGGGTGTTGAACGTTCCTTATCGAGAGTCCTTTCGCGGCTTCATCCCTCATTTTAGAGTCGTAAAAAAATCTAGAAACTAGAAACTTCCAAAAAATTGCTAGCAACGCAAACCCTACGGAATAGGAAGGAAGACTATCGAGTTTCGCGCGCAGTACCTCGCCTGCATTTCATTTGAGCGCGTTGGCCAGATGACTACTGGCAAATCGGAATTTTAGTGATGAACATTTTTTAGAGTCGTTGATTGTAGTGTGCAAGCAACCGAGACGTTCTGTTTCAACTGACATGCGACATTTAGGCAAAGTAGATTTCGATTTACACAGTGTGCATTCCTATTTTTCCTTTTCCAATCTGGAGTAGAGCAAAATTTTAAACAAGAAGAGTTCTGGAAAAATAATTTTAAAAAATCAAATTACACAAGGACACGTAAGCTTGCATATAAATACATGCGCAGTAAACAAACTAGGCACCGACGTGTCATCCGCGCGATTATGGAGACTGGGAACCAGTTGTTATATGTCAGATCTCTCAAACAACTTTACTATTGAAGAATGAACTCGCCGGTATTATTTATCTTATTTTCCAGTTTTCTTTACTGTCCAGTACTCTCCGAAGATTATTATGAATTATTAGGAATAGACAGAGACGCTAGTCATAAGGACATTCGGAAAGCGTTCAAAAAGTTAGCCCTAAAACTGCATCCTGACAAAAATAAGGTAAGCGTACGTGTGACACTAAGGATTGTATCGCCATATCTTAATCATTGATTTTAATAACTGTACTTGGTAAATATCGAAATATTTTCTTTCCAAAGGATGATCCAAAGGCACACGACAAGTTTACTGTGATAAACAAGGCTTACGAAGTTTTAAAAGGTAGGCGACATTTTCAACAGAGTATATACTTTTTTCACGTGTTAACTGAAGTTGTCCTGTTCTATAATTTTATCAGCTGGTTTCAATGTTTTCCAAAGCTCTATTGAAGCTCTTTTTTAAATCTGAACAGCGCTTCGGAAGTTGTGATTTTTTTCATGAGTTCCATTGCATTTTTGGCTTATCACACTGAAAATTAATGAGAGTGAGCCTATTTCTTTTAATTTCTCTGAGTATTAATTATTTTTCATAAAGTTTATTTTACTCGTAGATTTAAATTAATTCGTTCGTGCAGCTGAAAAAACATAGTATTTACATCTAGACAGTGTTGGTGTGTGATTTGCTTTGGTTGAGATAAAACTGAACATCATACTGTGTGATTCTTGAAACCGTCGCCTATGACAAAGCTTTCGTCGAAATTAGTAAAACATTTTATTATTCACGAAGAAATGAATCACAGGTTCTAAACATGAGAAGACCATTGCTAATAACGTTCAAGATGGCCGAATTGTATCTTTTAAGAGTGATGCAAGCTTGAGGGATGTTATTAAAATGAGAAGATAATTAGCTTTATGAAACACCGCATGCAATGTTCTGTTTATTATTTGTATGTCAAAGAAATTTATTCAGGCTAATGGAAGACAATCTTAATGGCAAATTTTAGGAACACAAATTATGTTGTTCACTTAAATTTAGACGCAGCTCACAAAACTTACATGTCCACATCTGTGAAAAATTTGTTAAGCAGCTTTATTCTGCAAGTCCAAATATATTTTCGCAGACAAAAAAAAATAGAATTCAGTGGTAATGATGTTCATTAGGAAAAAAAGCCATTCATAATCTGAAACAAAGGAAATTAGAATGAGACTATTTGAGGTAAATTGAACACAGGTAAATTTGCAATGGCAATAGGACTGAGTGGAGTCCAATTCAATCTGTATTATCATAAGTAAGTGACAAAACTGGAGAACCACAAAGGCGGAGTCCAATTTGTTAAAAACAACTATGATTACAGACAGAATTGGACAACACAAAGTTGCACTTACAATAAATCAAAACTATTACAGAATTTGAGAAACAAACTAGCCATTGATCTTACATTTCATAAAAAAAAAATAGTCAACTTAGGGAAATGCACAATAACAGCACATGCACATGATGCATACTGTCGAATTACACAGGCATTGATGCATATACTGTCCTCTCAGTGCCCAAGTTGGGCTAGTAATAACCAATCATGTTTGAGAATTTTTTTATATTTTTGATTAGAACCAGCATAATGTTGAACAATGTTCCTTAAAAGTGAATGATTATCTTGCATTTCTCAACTCCAGTCTATCTTAACTTATAGATGAAGAACTTCGGAAAAAATATGATTTATATGGGGAAGAGGGGTTGAAAGATGACCACTTTGGCGGAGGACATTACCAGAGTTGGAATTATTTTAATGAAGAATTTGGTAAGTTCGCATGTTGTTGTTTAACCTAACAAAAAACGATTTTGCCAAGTTGGAAAAAAAATAATCATATTGAGTCAAAATACCTCCTACTATCAGAGCAGAAGGGCTATAAGCCTTTATACAGGCCCAGGTGGCCCATAGGGTGGGTGCTTAACTCTGGTTTCCATAGCATGAAGCAGCTAGGAGTATTGCTAATCCCCTCTTGGATGGGATGCTAGTCCATTGCAGGGTTACC